AGACTGATTGTTTGATGGAGAAAAACAAAGACTCCAAATGTTCTTAACCCTATAATGTTATAACTAATTTTTAAAAAAAACGAATTATTAGTATCATTATTACAATAGTCTCATGTAGCGTTTAATATAGCATTTAATGAAAAAAATAAACTGCTGTATAAAAGCAAAACAAAAGAAATGTATATTCACACAACCCACCCAAGTATTTTTACACGTCAAGCCATGGACGGCACCCAGCAGCATCATTTATCGATCAGAGAGGGGAGAGAATCAGTCGGGATAGTAGAGTTTAAAGAGATGTGTTTTGAGTGCAGTTTTGAAGGCCTGAATGGTCGGTATATTGCGGATGTGTAGTGGGAGAGAATTCTATTGTTTGGTGCCGCGGAAAGAGAAAGATCGTTCACCGTATGTTTTAGTCCGTGTCTTGGGGACAGAAAGAATACGCGTGTCTGCGGAGGAGCGAAGTTGTCGAAGCGGCGAATAGACAGAAATAAGTTCGGTTAGATAGGAACGGCAGGAATCCGAAAAAAAAAGTTGTGGCAGAGAACAGAGAGTTTGGAATCAATACGTGCTTGTATAGGGAGCCAATGAAGTGAGTGGAGTAGTGGAGTGGCGTGACCACAATTATTTTTTTTTGCCTCTAGAACTAGCCTAGCAGCTGAGTTTTGAACCTTTTGTTGTTTTTCTATAACACGATTTTTATCATCAGCAAACACCGTCTTTAAATTTGTTTTGATAGAGGAAAAAAAATCCAATATAAAAACTGCTTCATTTTATTGAATTCCTGGCTTGCTATAAAAAATGTCGTCTGGATTATGCTAAGGCCGTAGTGACAGAGAAAATGTGACAACTGATTGAACTTTTTTCCTCTCTTAAGTTAAAGCAAAATAAACTGTTATGTTGGCTGTGAGGATATTATTTTGTTATTTCTCAAAGCTTTTATTTAGCTCGTGGTACTTCTTTGTTTTGCATCAGCTTCTCGTTGAGAGACTTCTTTGTTATAAGACGTGGTGGCTAGCGATGGATGTAATGTATGTTTTAGCGAGGTGAACTCGGGGTTTGACGGAAGAGAGGACGGTTCATGTTTTAGCTGCAGTAAGTCTTTTTTTTTTTAGCTTGCAGTCAGAAGCTTTTTGTCTTCTTTGGTGGCAAACAGTTTTAGTAGAGACCCACTAGAGCTACAGAAGAGACAGTAGCGTCACTAGGGAGCTGGCGACGAGCATACGGTGACATCTCACATGGGGCTGACATCAAAGGGAAAAAAAATTCGGTTTTCATAATAGAACTAAGAACAAGAGCCTGTGAAGAACAATACGCCCCCAGACATAGTTGGACACTATCAGAGTAGACACACTTGAAGGAGGTCCATGAGAAAGTTTGGAGAGGTGGGGGGGGGGAGGAGGACAACACCGTGACTTTACCGAACTGGCTGACACCATAAGCGAGAGCTCAGAAAAAGTCAAATTTTCCCGAGCATTTCGATATTGGGCAATCGTCTCTTCCAACCGTACCGCATCGCACATCGATTGAAATTGCGCGATCAACACGTCTAATATTTACCACTTGTTATCTGATTCACGATAAAGACTATTATTGTGATGTGATTTTATCACTGAAGCGATTATGCAATTTTATCCTAAACGTAGCAGCCCCGTTTGTAAAGGAAATCCCGCGCCATTACAACACATCTTTTGGTTCATCAGCGTCACGAAGTCGATCATATGAATAGTCAAAGAATCGTTTCGTCCTTTGCTCTATCTTACACTCGAGAGGCAGGACAGTTTGGTCTTTTTTATCTTTATAAACGATCTCGTGGTTTGTGATGATCGCTTTTCAGTTGTTGTTGGGTTGTTGTTTTTTTTTTTATTTTAAAGTTGATATGGAAAAAATTCATGATTTATTTGTAGAAAACGGAATTTATTTAAAACATATTCTTTATATTAAAGCTAACAAGGGGGTCCATGTAACTCAACAAACTAAGGATGCGACCTACCAGCTCCCTCTGAACGTAAAGCATGAACCAGTTATTCACCATATTTTGTATTAACTCTCGTTGTAATTGCATACAATCAAAGACTTCACATTTCGGAATGAACAAAACTAAAATGATAAAAGTCAAATGAACCGTGATCTTTTGCCGTGAAAGGACTTGTATGACTCAATATGGGTGGATAACTCTGGTATTACGTCATCAGCTGCTCGTGTCTAGGGGTGGTTTATGTTTTGGATGCTAATGACTCACAAAGGGACGTAATTTCATTCATCTGCTAATTTATGCAATTCAATAGTATTCAATTACCAATTTTATCAGATGAAGTGATTTTATTTTTTCGACGTTAAGTTTAAAATGCTTCATAGGAATCTTACAAAGTTTGAAAATCAAAAGCTTACAGTAAGGTTATAATCAACGTTTGCTCATACTTTTACAATCTAGGTTCTCATGACTATGGATATTGGCCACCTGTAATGCATTACTATTCATCATCATAAGTTGCTCTGTAATAAGACAAATATGACTATTAAATAGCGTATATCAATATTAATATAATTGATGATCTTAATAGACCTGTCTTAATCTATCAATGTGTGGGGTCACTTCTTGAGTGGAAGTGGATCCCCCCCCCCTCCTTTCGTTCGTGGTTTCTCAGGGCGGTAACAAAAGGGGACTCACCAGCTGTATGTTATGGAGTATCCTGTCTCGCTGTACTTTGTGGGATGGACTCACCAGCTGTATGTTATGGAGTATCCTGTCTCGCTGTACTTTGTGGGATGGACTCACCAGCTGTATGTTGTGGAGTATCCTGTCTAGCTGTACATTGTGGGTTGAACACACCAGCTGTATGTTATGGAGTATCCTGTCTCGCTGTACTTTGTGGGATGGACTCACCAGCTGTATGTTATGGATTATCCTGTCTCGCTGTACTTTGTGGGATGGACTCACCAGCTGTATGTTATGGAGTATCCTGTCTCGCTGTACTTTGTGGGATGGACTCACCAGCTGTATGTTATGGAGTATCCTGTCTCGCTGTACTTTGTGGGATGGACTCACCAGCTGTATGTTGTGGAGTATCCTGTCTCGCTGTACATTGTGGGCTGAACACACCAGCTGTATGTTATGGAGTATCCTGTCTCGCTGTACTTTGTGGGATGGACTCACCAGCTGTATGTTGTGGAGTATCCTGTCTCGCTGTACTTTGTGGGATGGACTCACCAGCTGTATGTTGTGGAGTATCCTGTCTCGCTGTACATTGTGGGTTGAACACACCAGCTGTATGTTTAGGAGTATCCTGTCGAGCTGTACTTTATGGGATGGACTCACCACCTGTATGTTTAGAGTATCCTGTCGAGCTGTACTTTATGGGATGGACTCACCACCTGTATGTTTAGAGTATCCTGTCGAGCTGTACTTTATGGGATGGACTCACCACCTGTATGGTGTGGGTGTAGAGTCCTAGACACGCGCAGTATTATCTCATGCAGGTCTCAAGGTTTATGATATGGATATGTAGCCCTAGGGGACACCTCAGAAAGACGCACCAGGAGTTGCCGGAATGTTCAATATTATCCACCCTCGGGACTCCATCTCTGGGTCTGAGTTCAGAGTTTGCCTTTTCTTAGATAAGATGCCGTCCAAGGTTAATGAGTCCCATCCACCAGGGACTCGCTCTATGTGTTATTAATAAAATAACAGGACGGGGGACTACTCTTACGTAAAGGGAAAAAGTTTGGGTGGGGATTCTATCAAAGCGTTTGAATCTAAGAAAGTTTAAGAGACCAGATGGATTTCATCACAAATCATAATAATTTTTTTTTTTAATTCGTATTCACCACTCATAATTTAGAACTGATTAAAGCTAAACAAGATTACATTAACTAAACAATTTATACCCCCCACATTAACTAAACAATTTATACCACTCATATTAACTAAACAATTTATACCCCCCACATTAACTAAACAATTTATACCACTCATATTAACTAAACAATTTATACCACTCATATTAACTAAACAATTTATACCACTCATATTAACTAAACAATTTATACCCCCCACATTAACTAAACAATTTATACTACCCATATTAACTAAACAATTTATACCCCCCACATTAACTAAACAATTTATACCACTCATATTAACTAAACAATTTATACCACTCATATTAACTAAACAATTTATAACGTTCATATTAACTAAACAATTTATAACGCTCATATTAACTAAACAATTTATAACGTTGATATTAACTAAACAATTTATAACGTTCATATTAACTAAACAATTTATACCCCCATATTAACTAAACAATTTATAACGTTCATATTAACTAAACAATTTATACCCCCCATATTAACTAAACAATTTATAACGTTCATATTAACTAAACAATTTATAACGTTCATATTAACTAAACAATTTATAACGTTCATATTAACTAAACAATTTATAACGTTCATATTAACTAAACAATTTATAACGTTCATATTAACTTGAGAAAGTAAAATGTCGGTCCAGTTCTTTTAATTATTTAAACATTAAATTTTTCATATGAAAAAAAAGCATTACTTAAGCAGAATTCCATCAGCAATGGGTTTCAAAATATACTCAAGACCCTAGGCGTAATAAATTTACTCAAATAGTTTATAATAAGTCTTGGGCCATTTCTGCCAGTTGCTTGATGAGCTACTGTTTGTATACGCCTGAAAACAAAGCCATTCTCTCTTTAAAATGAATTATAAGCTTATTTCAAGATAAAATTGATTGAAGTGCCACTGTGGTTAATCTCGTAGCAAAGACCTAGAACACGGGTCCTTTTCAAAACTCCTGGCACAACCATCTACAGTGCATTAACACAAAGCCGCTCCCTCTCCCCCCAACACACACACAAGCGCCAAATTGTTTTTACTCACCACCAAACTCGAACCACTGTACCGGAGCTGTACGCCTTCATCCACCCACCTCTCATCATACGTGCGTGAACTAGGGGGTCATCAACTGAAAATTTGCTGCTCGCCGCGGTGGAAGGACGGATGTTTTGTGTTGTGTTGAGGAAATAGTTTGGGTTTTTTTTTTAATTAAGGATAGACGTTGGAGTTTTTCTGGTGTTTTGTTGAAGAGCTGAGTTTAGCTGTGTTGCATGTCAAAACATATCATATGCACAAGCTTGTGGAGGTGTTACATCATTGTCATCTGTTTTATGTATTTCAAAAAAAAAATACTTCAAGGAATGTGTAGATACCAATTGCCTTAACGCGGAAACTAACTAGGTGAGTAAAGAATTAAAGAGTCAAATAATTAACCATAAGACCCATTTGAAGGAAGTCTTATTATATCTGAACCATGATGTGTTATTTATAAAATTTCCGAAAATCATAATTTTTTAGGGACATGTTTCTGGGAATAATATATTGAACACATGCATAGTTCTTTTTTTTTTTTAATATTTTGATTTCTTCGTTTACATTTTGGTTTCTATAATTTGGCCATTCCATAGGGTTTGGCAACGGAAAACAGTGTGAGGGAGGGATACAATTTGGAATAGTCACATAGCTAAGGAATTCATTTTAGATTAAATGATTAATTTCTTATTTATTTTCGATTCGTAGTTTTAAAAAAAATTCGACAGATTGATAGGGTTCAGGCGCTTTTTATGAAGTTTTAAATACAAGTTGTTAATTCAAGTTGTCAATTCAAGTTGTCAATTCAAGTTGTCAATTCAAGTTGTTAATTCAAGTTTTTAATTCAAGTTTTCAGCAATGAAGTGAACTTGTAACCAAAGGCAATTAATGAACTGTCTCTTGATGATCTAGGATTGAGATTTGATTTTTGCAAGTTACAAAATAAAAAGAATTGACAAAAGCATCGGCTACAATAGAAGCTTTGATGACAGATAGAAAGGATTAAGATGTAGAAGCGCCTTCACGGGCGTGAGCAGAAATATTTGCATGGGGGGGAGGGGGGTCAGTTACGGCCGCAAGGTTGGCTTTTTTGGGGAGGGATGTCTTTAAGTTATGAACAGTAGACTAACAGAACTCATGCAATTAAATTGTTTGACAGGTTTCATAAGTCCTTATCAACATTAAGTCCCCTTTTAGTTGTATTAGTTTTGGTGGGGTTTTCTTTTCAATTTTAATGAGTAAGTTTGTAATTTCAAGGGTGTTGGGGGTACATGACACACCTTGTCCTGTGATGCGGGCACCCGTGTCGTTATTAACTGACAGTATAAACGGGATTTTGTGTTGCGTTGACATCCTGACTGAGGGGTTATGACTCCGTTAAAATCGATTAAATCAGATAATCAATACCAAAAGCATGTCTATAGTAGTTCGATCAGGTTTACAGGGGTAAGGGCGGGTCTGCAGATGAAAGAGAAACGGATTTTAGAAAATTTAATTTAGGAAAACTTGTCATGAAATGTCCATTATTTTAAATGCCTCCTTTATTGTAGCAACTTACTTTATACAAAAAGTAGAGCTGTATCTATAATTTATCGAGTCTCTCAACATAGGTGAACACATGTTGCATGAGTCAAGCAGTACTTTGGTTCGGAGTGAACGAGTTCCCATTTCTTGTCCCATTGTAACATTTACCGTCAATCTTAGCGGCTCACACACACACACATACAAACACACACACCACCCACTTAAAGTTGTTGTTTTTTTTTTCCCAGCAAAACAAGTGTGTGACTCATCCACCAAGTCTTTAGTTAACTTGTCAGTAGCGTGAGAGTGGGAGCGATGTTTACTTGAATGCTCACGGCACGGTGGTGAGGAGGAGGGGTGGAGAGAGGGGTGGGGTTAAAAGGTGAATTATATGAGCCTCATAACATAATGTATATGAACTAGTTACCGCGAGCACGGTAGGGGTCAACAGTACATGCGCACGAAACCAAAGTTGATGAGATGGTCCGATTTGGGGATTTTTGCGTACGGGTAGTTATTGGAACAAGGGAGATGTTTGAAGAATGAGAACGCATTGAATTGTACAGTAATAGCATACTTATTTCAGAAACTGATTTATAAGCTTCTTTTTGTATTATTTTTAAAACACTAGCAGCTTCCTATCTTTGAATCTGGCATAGTATATAAGGTTTAGATCAAAAACATCTTTGAATCTACAAAATTGTATAAGATTTAGTTCAAAGGTATATTTGAATCTTCCATTAGATTTATAATTTACATCAAAGATATGTTTGAATCTGCCATTAGATATCAGATTTAGAACAAACAGATAATACGTCGCCTGATAAGTGGATCTAGAAGAGGAAGAGATAAGTGCCTGATATCCCTGGATCCGCCACTGAATATTAGACTAGGATCAAAGATGTAGCAAATTTTGTTTGAAGAAATGTTTCACTAAGCAAGAATTCAGCAGAAAGGCCACAATTTTTGTAGTGTTATTAACAAGTCTTCGGTGATAGGGTCATGTCTTCGGTTGTAGAGTCATGTCTTCGGTGGTAGGGTCATGTCTTCTGTTGTAGGGTCATGTCTTCGGTTCTAGGGACATGTCTTCGGTTTTAAGGTCATGCATTTGGTGGTAGGGTCATGTCTACGGTGGTAGGGTCATTTCTTCGGTGGTAGGGTCATGTCTTCGGTGGTAAGATACAGACTTCCTTGATAAAATCACGCATTTCTCCGGTGGTAAGTTACAGACTTCATTTATAAAACCATGCATTTCTCCGGTGGTAAGTTACAGGCTTCCTTGATAAAATCATGCATTTCTCCGGTGTTGCGTTACAGACTTCATTGATAAAGCCAAGCATTTCTCCCGTGTTAAGTTACAGACTTCCTTGATAAAATCATTCATTTCTCCGGTTGTAAGTTACAGGCTTCCTTGATAAAATCATGCATTTCTCCCGTGGTAGGTTACAGACTTCCTTGATAAAAACATGTATTTCTCCCGTGGTAGGTTACAGACTTCCTTGATAAAACCATGCATTTCTTAGGTGGTAAGTTACAGACTTCCTTCAGATCGTCCTTGTTATGATCAGTTTTTTCGGTGGTAAGTTCACGTAGAAGCAGCCCCAGATGTGGGCAAGGCACCGGTCTTATATCTTTTGACCCGGCACTGGATATTAGCAGGCCATCGCGAAGACCCTACAACCTAATGGCGATTTTTTTAAGGCCCCCAAATTTGTAATGTGGAAAATAATTTTATAGACATTTTTTTTTAAAATTTGCCTTGTAAAGCTAAATAAAAATAAACCTAAAAGTGGCAGGCAGCCTCCATAAGTCATCTGACGGTCCTGGAGCAAAGAGTTAGCGGTTGCACACAGAAACGAACCCAGAGGGTGGTGAAATATCTGCCTCTAGCTGTACAACTGTTAAAAAAAAAGGGAGGGGGTCTGCTTGGATGAGGGAGAAGAAGAGACGAGCGTTCAAACAATAAGTAAGCTTTGTTCCTGATGTTTTCAGCTTGCTGTGTAAATAATTGTAAAGACTGGCAACGCTGGTTGGCCACACCCGTGCACCCAGTTAGCACGTCTCACTACCATTTTAACAATTGTGGCAATAGTTGTTCTTTTTTTAATGGCTTTCTGTTTACAATTCGTTAGATTGGCCATTGAGTTCGGCTCTGTGCACTCTCTAACCTATCTGACATCGTGATCAAGACACGTTCAATAGCCCAAAAAACGAAACCTTTTCAAGAGCAACGTTTAGTTTGGCAAAACAAGACAGTGGTTAGTTTACCTTGTATAAATTTGCTGGATCAATGGGCTACGTTCAAATTTTTTGTAAAACAGAGTTGCTTGCCCGTGGTTGCCGCCTACTTTTACCATTTTGGGTTGGTTCCGAAATCATGTTTGTTGTTTCTAAACTCGATTCCAGTCAGTTAAGTGGGGTTAGTTAAAACAGATCAATAGTTTTTTTTAATAAAATTATACTTTTACTCTAATTTTCTAATAACAAATTCATGGTGACGTCATCCGATCCATGTTTACTCAGCCAAATCATGACCATTACAAATGTTTTGAAAGCGGAGACGATATGCACCAACCCATCGTGCTCTTTTCTCTCCGAAAGTAAATATTTTTTTCACCTTATTGATCTTCCGCATAGATAAAAAAAAATAATAAAATGGATTTTTTAGGAAAAATCCTGGATATGCATTTTTGTTTGTATTTATGTGATTGTACGTGATTTATGAGTTATGTGATTGTACGTGATTTATGAGTTATGTGATTGTACGTGATTTATGAATTATGTGATTGTACGTAATTTATGAGTTATGTGATTGTACGTGATTTATGAGTTATGTGATTGTAGATAGTGATTTTTGATATGAGAATATTTTTATCAATCTTAGTGCATGTAATAAAAATATATTTAAAAGAAGAATTTGTCGTGTTTAAAGAAAATAAGTACCATCGTTTGTATTCAGTCTATTCATAATGAGATAGGATGAAAATTTACGCAGTCGTTCCATCTCCACAAACATCAGCAAACTGCAGAATTTTTTGCTTGCCCTTTAATAACGGGAAAACTTACTTGGGGCTTGGGGGTTGGGGTGGATGAGAAATTGGGCTGAAAATTTGATGAAATGAGTTGTCATCGGCACCAAGTCTATGTGCCAAGTTTCAGCTCGATAGAATGACGGCAAGTGGGTCATTTAGCCTTCTGAAGATTTTGCCACAGGGAAACACAAGAACAGAAGCGAAATTAATATAGAGGATTTAAAAAGACAGGGATGGATACATTTACACTTCAAAACTCCTTACCCAAATATAAATCTCAAAAGCCGTGTTGAATGTTGATAAAAAGGAAAATAATTATAAAGTGACAAAGTCATTTTTTTGTGTCGTTTTATGAAGTAAAATTCATATTCAAATAATTATATTTTGTCCGAAAAGCCTAATATTGAGTTAACTGAACCCAAAATTTTGGTATCAGGCACCTCGCCTCAAGTTATTTCTACAATGTCACAAAAAACAACCCATCCTTAATTTACATCCAAAATGTAGCTGTTACAAACCTAACCTTAATTAAGTCAAGAATTTCTGTTAAAAATTCATGAGATAAAAAAGAAGGAAAGACTACAGTAAATATAAATCACTTTGCTAATTTGGATGCGCTATTACTTTCAATACCCTAGAAAATTAAATATAACTTTTCCTAATGATGTTTTCCTATCTTTCATTAAATTGTCCAGACTCTCAGTGAAAACCGTTAGAACGACCGAATTACATGATTACGTTTTTGCTGGGAAGGGTACACATGTAGAATCTGACCTGACATTTCTTTGACCAGTTGTTAGCAATATGTCATGTGAATCTGTAACGCGACTTACGGGGTTAATTGCTTCTATCTTGCACATAAAGATAGACTTTTATAAAGACGTTTGAAATTAATTTCTAACCGTCGGCTGGTCTGTTTTTGATACTTGCTGTGGTTCTTACATGAAAGAAGTACCTTTTAAAAAATTTGCTACTCGATATTCGCAGAATTCTTTGTAAATGTTGGTCAGAATGTCGTGGGACAGATCACGTGGCCATCCAGTGCCATCGCCTGATTTTTAGAGCGGCGCCCCCCCCCCCCGGCCGGGTTGATATGTTTGATTTTTCCACATCACAAATTCGGAATCCCCAAATATCCTCCCAACCACTCCATGGTCATCGCTTGTCCTGACTAAACCGAACACACTGTGGTCATCGCTTGTCCTGACTAGAGTGAAGGGAAATCTAATGCATGGCAATGATGTCTCTCTTGAAAACTAGCCAAAACTTTTTTTTTTTTAAATAATAATATTCAATACACGGAACAATGTAATGCCGAATATGCACCAGCAGCAATATTACTACCGTTCTTTTTGTTGTGTAGCAAAATGTGATGTTTGAATCAACAGAAGCCGTTTTTTTTTTCTTTCATAAGCTGTTTCTCTGTATTGGTCAAAAGCCAAGTACCGAGGGTCGCTTTTGTGCTCAGAGATGGCTGAGTGGTGGATGAGCAAGAGAGCGTAGCGGTCAATGTCCCATCAATGCATAAATAAATACATTACATGTGAAGCATTGCATTTTTCAGTCCAGGATTTTTGCTTATCCTGGACTTCCAGGATAAAATGGATTCTCCTCTATGGATGCCAGGATATTGAGGGTGTATTAAAATATTTTATAACGTGAATCAAACTTTAAAGAGAGATTGTATTGTAATTGTTTACTTTTTATTATCGTTTAATACATTTTCTTATATCACGATGAGCGAAATAAATATTAACTAGAGCTTAACCGAGTCCGGGTATTTTGAGAAAATACCCGAATGGTAAAAAGAAAAAAAATTAACTTCTTATTTTATATAAACAACAGTCCTACAGAAGTCCTGGATCCTACTTGTCGATCTTTAACTATCCGTGCCTGTGACTCTTTATTGATTAATATAATAGTCATCCCCCGATAAATATATTTTTTTTTAAATTCCATTTGTGAAAACGAAGCAGGACACACCAAAATCAATATATACATATATACAATATATATATATATATATAAGAGATTAATATGAAATATCGATATTATAATTTCTTTTGTACAGAAATTTAGAATAAAAATAGTTCATCAATTTCATTAAAACTGTAAAGAATACAACAAAACGTCTTTAATTTGATTTTTTTAAAATTATTATTATTTTTTTATTTCCCGAATTAAACTCTTAAATATAATTCCCTTATTCACATTTAGATTGTTTTATAAATGTGGGATGTCATTGGCTTTTAAATACTCACTACTTGGTGATTTACTGAACAAAAACACACTCAAATGAAACGCTGCCGGCCTATTTTTTAGGGATAAAGTTCAAACCCTTCTTTTAGACACTGCATCACACGATAGCTTTCTTTAAAACGAATTAGACCGTATTCGAATGTAATGAGCCTTTTCCCAATCAAGGGCGGGGTGGGTGAAATGATTTGATCTATATATTTAACCGGTGATATCAATATCAAAGAGAAGTGGGGGCTGGAGGTAAGGTTGAATGCCACAGCTCGTGGTGAATAAAAACAAGGTCAACATACGGGCTATAACAATGAGCAACTGCGTGGACGTCAAGGGTTTAACTCCGTTGAGTGCCAACAACTCAACAGCATGAGACCACTCCGCACCCGATGTCTGACACGTTTCCATCAGACAAAATGAGACAATGTCATCCCCTTCGTGTTGATACAATCAGGTAGCTAATGCATACGTTTACTGTCACTGACTTCATCTCTCTCTCTCTCTCTCTCTCTCTCCCTCTCTTTCTCTCTCTCTCTCTCTCTCTTATCGTTATATCTCCCCTCGCTCTCTCATCTTTATTCTACCTCTATTTTTCTATTATTTACTATTGACATAACCGGAACATTTTTAATCTAGCTTCAATTCCTATCATCGGGGATATTAGAAGAGAGATAGGGATTTAAAGTGTGTGGGGGGGGGGGACGCGCATAATTCATTGATTAATGTAGCTCATGTTGTAACTCATTGGCAAACAATTTTGTTTTTGTTTTCTTTGAAGCAGGAACACCATTGTTCCATTTGTGCCTCCATGCAATCATATTGTTATGCAACCATCGGATAGTATCATTCACCGAATGGTATGCAATCATCAAGTGCCTTACAATCACCAGATGTTAACATACAGGTGTTATGAAGCCCAGATATGTCAGCGTTACAAACACATAATAAGAACACGATCCAGAGATGGGCTGGCAAACTGAAACTACGGTCTTTTATCGCTTCATTCAGAGAATATTCTTTAATATTCTTAGTTTGAGATGCTTACTTGAGAAATTTTTTTCGATCAAATTTCCGTTCGACCAAACTTCCGTTCACTCAATATTTTAAAATTATCTGCTTCTGAAGATTAGAACCGAAAACTCGAACAGATTGAAAATATCATCTTGTCTAAACTTATGCACCGATGAGAACGCTATTCGGTCAAAACGATTTTTTTTTTTGCACGAGTCCCTGGTTGTGAAGAGTTGCTTCCCTCAATTCATACACCTGTGGAAAAGAAACATTCCAAGCGAATTTAAGCTAGGAGTTCGTTCTACCTTGAGATGGATTTTTCATGATCTTTTTTTTTTTGTGTCCAGATCTTGATGTCGTTAAAATAGAAAATATGATTCATCCCAAAACCTCTTTGAGTGTGCTGTTTGTGATCTACCAGATTAACTTCAAAGGGAATCAATTAGTTTTTTGTTTTTTTTTAATGAAAGAAATTTACAAAATTGTGATCAATGATAAGCTGCAATAAGTGTCTGTCACTAAAAGCTTTTACTCTGGAATTCATTTCAATCTTTCGCACAGATATTAATTGGATGAGACAGTGTGAAATCTGGTTACATATCAGACTTATGTGGTGAGCTCTTGCACGTCATTTCTATGAAAGAGAGCACTAACTTTAAGCTTCAATAAAATAATTTTTGACATAAGCGCACTAGTTTTCTTCTTTTTACTGATGTGGTTGGGGGGGGGGGCAGGGGGGGGAGACGAATGATCAAAACATGTTTTACATCCTATTGTCTTTTATATATAATCCAAATTTAATTAATGTCATTTAACTATGTTAGAATATTAAATATTACTTGTTTCATGTAACCATTTCGATTTTTTGACATAAGCGCACTAGTTTTCTTCTTTTTACTGATGTGGTTGGGGGGGGGGCAGGGGGGGGAGACGAATGATCAAAACATGTTTTACATCCTATTGTCTTTTATATATAATCCAAATTTAATTAATGTCATTTAACTATGTTAGAATATTAACTATTACTTGTTTCATGTAACCATTTCGAAAAGGAAAACAAGAGCCAGACTTAAATGTTTTAAATATGTGTTTCTTTATGTCATCATTGCCAATACAGCCGCGTTCGCTTGCGTTTATATTCGGATAAAGAAAACTTCTAAAGCGTTATCTGGGTACAAATAAATTTATGACGCAGTTAAAAACAATTTGAAAATCTACGAATTAAAACGAAAATGTTCCTCCTATAAAAGGTAATATTTATAATAAATCTTGTATTCATTCAATTTGGGGTCCGCCGCTTTTCAGTTAATATTGAATCTGAGCACAGCAAAAAAAAAACAAAAAAAAACATGATTTAAGGACAAATAAGACTGAAAAAATGTCTAATTAAAAAGTAATCATCAACGCCAAAGCTATAGCTGTTTATCAATAAACATAAAATAGTATCCCGAGCAGGAAACCAGTCCAAACTGGGCCCTTTTAGCTGTCCATATGTCAGGAGCACCATACATATAATTTAGATACATATTTTTTACAGTTAATGTATTCAACTTAAAGGGGAAGAAATTTGCAAAGATATTGCCTTTTAATTTTTTTACACCGAAATAATTTAATCGTTAATGTTTTACAGATTTGAAGTTAGATGACGAACAGACTTTTATTTAAAAATTTGTCTCTATCAGATCGTTTGAAAAAACCTCAAACATAGAGCGGTTTATTTTTTTTTTAAAATTAGGGCCCTAATGCAATGGAAAAAAAAAAGTGTATATCATTAGTTTGAGATCCAACACTATTTTGAAGGGATTATGAAAGGTATTTTTTTTCCAAGTTTGACCTATATGCAACAATGTATGTAGAAGCTCGCATTGTAACAAAGTCTCCATGTACAACTTTGGCTATTACAAAGATAATACGTTGTATAACCTGCCACACTTATTTTGGAAATTTCTAGAAACTTCAAACGTATCTTCAAATCTGATTTCATAAGTGGGGACAAGTTCTATAAGGTGATGTTTTAATGATCACTAAGATTGGGGCGCTATAAATTTTCTTCAATTGAATATTAAAATTACAATTTAGAAATCACTTTAAAATCAGTTGGGAAAAAAATGCAGTAGATCTAGCAAATGTAACCAAAAAAAAAAATGAAAGGAGTGTCCCTGACACTGTGTTGCTCACTTCAGGATAAAACGAAATCCCCCCACCACCACCCCCTCTTTTTTTTTCAACCCCACTGAACCAAGATAATTTTTTTTTATAAGTGAATTCCCTGTCAGCATTCCTTTCTGGTGCATGTTGTGTTATAACCATGCATTTCAAGTTTGATCAAGCGTCCATTAATCCAAGTAGAAACGTATGTGGTTATAAACAGAATGTTTTCTCTCAGGTTATAGCATGGTACCAGCACGATAATAGAGATGAATGCTTAAAACCCATTTAGAGATTGAAATTTAAAACATTAAAATTTTGATTAATTGTATTCAACTCATTAAAATCATCGTCTATATACTGAGGAAAACCTTTATAACAGTTAATATTTGTTGACGGTGGAGTGTCTGTACAGTTTTCAACTGAAACACTACCGTGCCATTAGCTGCTGTCATGCTGTCAGCTAAAAATAAATCTAGACACAATAAAGTTTAGGTCTAGATTTATTTTTCACTGACACCAGCTAATGGCACGGTAATAATGGCACACAATAAGTTTGTGTGTGGCATTTGAGAATGTTATAATCAATGTAAAACATGTAAATAATTTGATAAAAATGAAAATCTACAGTGGACTGAGATGGTTCAGTGTGTAGCAAGTTGTGATGTTGAGGCATTGCCATTTTGAAAAAAAATGCCAGCACCCATTAAGGGACGTAGATTTATATAACGCTGATTTGGGGCTACATCACAAACTTGCGATTCTCCATTCCACGACACACACACACACACACACACATACATACACATCTGCTATACACAGATGGTAAAATAATTTTTTTTTTTTAAAAAAAGAGAGAGAACCTCCTCAACGGCAAACCCTTAGTTACGCCAAAGTACACTTTATGCCCGCCCCTGAACTATGGGATAATTTTATCATAATGCTCAGCCCTCCTCTTGCCATGCAATTTAATGTCGTTTCTCAAAATGCTACAACACGAATCTTCGCATATTTAAAGAATATGATTGTGTTATGCTAAGGCTGCAGCTATTCGGACCTGGGATTCAAGATTGAGAGGTTGCGTTTATTAAAAAATATAAAAATAGTATTGTTGGGTTTGTAAGACAAAATCCGGTATCAAATGGAAAAGAATATTGAATGGAGTATATGTTTGTAAACTTACTTTTTCAGATTAACTAAAATAAACTACCACAAATGACATCTGAATAGCGTTTAGTCTAAAGCAGCGGTTCTCAACCTGAGGGTCGCAACCCCTTTGGGGGTCGCCCGACCCTTTCACAGGGGTCACCTAAGATCATCTGAAAACAAATATACTCTTCAGTTAAATAGTAGAAACGAAAATAATTTTGTGGTTGGGGGTCGCCACAACATGAGGAGCTATATTAAAGGGTCACGGCATTAGATAGGTTGAGAACCACTGGTCTAAAGGGACCCGGGTCCGAATAGCCACTTCATTATATTAAACAGCTAATCTTTTGTTTAAACAAATATTTTTTGTCAAAACTTTCAAATTTATAAGTCTTAGAAAAATTAGCTTACATATAAGGCTTAGAAAAAGGAACTTACATATAAGGCTTAGAAAAAGGAGCTTACATATAAGGCTTAGAGAAATAAGCTTGCATAAAAGGCTTAGAAAAATAAGCTAATATATTAGGCTTAAAAGATAAGCTACATTTACGGCTTAGAAAAATGAACTTACATATATGGCTTAGAAAAATGAGCTTACATATACGGCTTAGAAAAATGAGCTTACATATAAGGCCTTTTTTTGGTAATGTGAGTTCTTGTCTTGGACATAGAAAGAAAATCTGTTAAAAAAAATATTTCTTGGGGTGTAAAAATAGATGACATTGTTGTGTGTTCGTTTAAATGGAATTCGGAATATAACGAAAGTTAAGATTTTTTTTTAAACCAGCAACGTCCCGATATGACATGTTAACAACGAATCCCATAGACATCCACAGCTTATTTAGTTAGTTTTTTGTCTTTTTAAAAAAATGAATTTTAGTTATTTCTGATCTTATTTATCTGTTAAACTGAGCTTTATTTCACACTCTAATTCACACATTAATACCAAACATTGAGAGAGATTTTTATAAAATGTAAATATCCTTACAAGTTAGTCGCTTAGGCTGCACTGCAATATTTAGCTGACATTAGTGTTAAGAAAAGCCTGTTCTAAGATGAATTGGAATTTTTACATTTAAACTGAGCAATATGAAGAAAATTGAACTTATATGAAGCAGTCTTAAATTAATTCTAATTGACCTCAAAATGGAAAAACAATGTGTTAAAATGTATTGTTTGTTAATTTCCAGACGATTTAAATTGTATGATAACGCAATGAAGAGTGAATTCTTTTTTAACAACTTGTAAAAAAAAAATACAAGTTAAATGATCACTTAATTTTAAAATATCATTTTTTTATCAAATCTTGTGACATGAGCATTGGAATAAGAAATGTATTTTGAAAAAGACCAAGGTAAAAAAGGTACTAATTCGTGAACTTCTATTCCATCTCTTACTAACTCTCACAGAAGAAGATATTCATTAGCTAGTTAATCGTCTATCACACGTTAGGAAACAGTTGGGACTGTCAATTAGTCTACAGAAAACAGATGTCATGATGCAAGAAGCTCCGTCCCCTCCAGTCATATCTATTGAGGGCCATAATATGTATGTTGTTGGGCATTTCACATACATTGGATCCAATATTTATAGTTATCTCTCCGTTGAAGAAGAGGTAAATATTAAGATCGCAAAAGCAGCAGCAACTCTGGCTAAGCTGAATAAGCGGGTGTGGAATAATTGCAATCTAACTGATAAAACAAAACTAAGTTTCTATCAGGCATGTGTGCTTAGTACGCTCCTGTATGGCAGTGATGTGTGGACCACAGATTATAAGTCATGAGCAAAAACTCAACAGCGTCCATCAAAAAAATCTGCGTCGCTTTTACGCATTCCATAGCAGGACAGGGTGCCTAACACAGAGTTCTTGGAACGTGCAAATATGTCAAGCATATTCTCTGCTCTTGGAAAGAGGCGCCTTCGCTTATTCGGTCATGTTAGGAGAATGGAGGAAGGCCGTATCCCAAAGATGCTGTTGTATGGAGAGTTGGCAGAAGGGACAAGACTTGTTGGACGGCCAAGTCTGAGATTTATGGACGTTTGTAAAAGGAGCACGGGGGAAGCCAACATTGAAATCAACAAATGGGAGATCACTGCCGAACAACGTTCCATCTGGCGAACAGCAGTTTATGAAGGAGTCAAAAAGGAAGAATATGCGCGAAACGAAGCCCTTGCAACAAAAAGAACAATACGAATCTAACCAGGAATCAATATTCTCCTGCGAGAAATGCAGTCAAGATTGTCCTTTCAGGACTGGCCTAGTGAGCCACTCGTCAAAGTGTAGGACTACATAGCTTCTTCATTGTCTAGCGAAAATGGACGGATGCCATCTATTATTATTTTGTTTTCCCGAAATTGATTGAATTAAATTAAGGTTTAGTAAATATGGAGTGTAAAAGGAGGTGGGAAATTAGAATGTTAATTTATTTCAGGAGCATTAAAAAATGTGCGTTAAAATACCTTTAAAAAGGGGGGGGGGGGGGGGGGGAATTAGCACTGATTGTAATTTTATTAAATTAAGGTTTAGTAAATATGGAGTGTAAAAGGAGGTGGGAAATTAGAATGTTAATTTATTTCAGGAGCATTAAAAAATGTGCGTTAAAATACCTTTAAAAAGGGGGGGGGGGTGGGGTGGAATTAGCACTGATTGTAATTTTAATAAAGTGCGTTAATTGATTGCGTGTTTTTTCAAGTAACTTTAGTAGATGGCAAGTTCAAGTACTGCCCCAGGCCATTGTTTTGTGGGCTATTACTAGTAAACTAAATAATTCAAGCCTTGTTACAAATTATCTTCGTGTAATTTTCGAGATGAACCCAATCTAAGATGTGTTAGTCTATTTTGTACTTAACCTCATTTGTCAATCTACGTTTAGATAAAATAATTCCTCCAATTTGACTTGAATTAAAATTTGTTTGTCTGTTTTAGTTTTGGTCATTCGTTTGTCAGTAATTTGTCATTCTTTTGTATTTTTTTTTTATTATTTTTTTTTTTTTTGCTGGCATCCGTCCGTCACAATGTGACGATTTTGAAGACTTCGCAGGACGAGATCCACAAGGCGGGGGATTTTTCTTCTAGTATTATAAGCTGGTTCCCTACTTTTTTTTTTTTTTTTATTTTTTTTTTTTTTTTTTTTTTTTATTTGTTTTTTTTTTTTATTTTTTTTTTTATTATTTTTTTTTTTTTTGCTGGCATCCGTCCGTCACAATGTGACGATGTTGAAGACTTCGCAGGACGAGATCCACAAGGCGTGGGATTTTTCTTCTAGGATTATAAGCTGGTTCCCTACAGCAAATCGCCTCTCTCCACGCCACTGGATAACCCAATGGAACATCATGTGGATTATGAAGCTTGGAACCAGTGGCGTCGCAAGAGTTGTCGGATTGTTTCATTGTGCTAATGTTATCCGCCTACGGGACTCCATCTCCGGGTTTGAATTCAGAGTTCATTCCTCTTAGATGAGTTGCCATCCAAGGTTAACGAGTCCCATCCACCCGGAGTGCTGGTGACTTTTTTTTTTTGCTTGACTGGATTTTGGCTGGAATTGAACTCCAGACCACCAACCCAGCTTGCATTTTATTAGATGTGTAGATATATATTTTAAAATCTGTATATTATAAATTTTATTGTGTTATCTAAACTGCCTCTAAATTCATACTTATGTTTTGAGTTTACTTTCAGGTTTCAAGTTAAACTCTGTTATAAAAAAAAATCCTATTGCTACAGCACCTCGAAACTTTTGAAGCTCTTCACTGCATAGGACACTTTTTTAGACAATCTTAGTACATCCATCCTGTCGTCCTCTAAAGTTTTTAAAGCAATGGAAGGAGTAGAATGAATTGTTTTATGGTGAGCTGATGGATGGACGGCAAGATGGACCGACAGATGGGATGATAATGTTAACCGATAGATGGTCAGAGTTAAAACAAGTGGAGTAACAAAAATGGAAAATCATAATTAGTAAGTCAATATCTGCTAGTGATAATATTTATATGTTATCACGTCGTATAAACTTAAGTGTGCTTTGAATATGGTATAAAGTGGATTTGATTTTTACGGTACATGTTATCTTCTCTAATGTTTTTTGGTCAAATATTAATGTATAAATAATAAAGTTTATTTCAAAAACACGCTTCATCCCCAAAGGCTCGAAGCGCGGTACAAAGTGAAATAATAATGTATAGTTGAATTACTGTTACCTACAAAATGTCACTGCTTTAAATATAACTAATACTAAAGATCGTGGCTAAAGCCGACAATTCGCGCCATGACGTGCTTTACGTGTTATTTAACTTAATAGGTTTAGTTTTTGGGTTAGGTTTAGGGATAGACTTAGTGGTCAGGATAGGGTTAGTGATGTTTAGAGTGACCTTTCACGGGTCGTGGCAACCAAGATGGTGGCCGTGTCGCGGATTGTCTGAACATTTTAATAATAACTAACTAAAAAAAAAATTCAGAACAAAAATGGAGCTGTTACATTTTTTTAATTAAAAAAAAAAAGAACTTAAGACTGCTTTAATTCAATAAATCATTTATTTGACTTCGGTTGTCAAACCAGGTCAAAGGTCGATATCCTACAACAGGGGTGGGCAAAATGCGGCCTTCGAAGGTATTTAGAAATTGAAACATTTACTTTGTTTTTAAGTTATTTTGTTGAACTTGATATAATTTCTTGTACAGTTCATGAATGTTGTTAATAGTAAAAAAAAAATAATCCTAAAATAATTTATTTTATTATTATATTTTTTAAACAACTTGGCTGTCTTGGTGACATATCAACAGCCAATGAATTGTAATTACATATGTATTGTATCGAAATAATAGTAATGTTTCTCCTAACTGCTTCATTTATTTCCGTTCACAGCATTAAAGAGGCTGAAAGGCTGACAGAGATTAGCCAAGGAATAGACGACTACTACCTGTGGGTCTTGTGTGGCGTGGGCTTGCCGGCCAACATCATGACCATCGTCACGATCCTCACAATGCAGGCGATGACGCCGGCCACGTTCTTCGTGACCTGCCTGGCTTACTTCGACGGCAGCGCACTGTTGGCCAAGTTGGTCATCAAGCTACTCATCCACCACGCCACCAGCTACCTGAACGTCCTGTGCGTGATGGAGTTCATCCCGATCTTCCTGCAGACCGTAGCCAACTGGATGCTTGTGTTCATCTGCGTGGAGAGGTTCATCTCGGTGTGCTATCCATTGAAGAAAGTTTACTTGGTGACGAAGCGGAGAAGTTACATCTGCGCAGCCGTGGTCGTCACGGGCTTTCTCGTATTCTTTGCATCGGTTTTTGGGGTCATGAGGAGAAACCAAGGGCTGAAGTGCACGATGTATCCAGCCTTCGCCTGGTTCTGGGACGAGGTTTGGAAGTGGATCCTCTGCTGTCTGCTTATTTTCTTTCCGTTCGTTTCCATCCTCGGCCTGACCATCGCCATCATCCGAGGACTACGCAACTCATCCCGAGATCGCCGCAGCCTTCTCAGGAAAGGCAGCGGAAGTGTGACGAACGCGTCGGGCCACCAGCGGAGCTCGGCGATCAACGAGCGACAGATCGCAGAAGCCGAACGGCTGGAGCGAACGATAACTCTCATGATGGTCCTTGCCGCCATATTATTCTTGGTTTTCTCCCTTCCGTCCGGTGTTTACTTTTTGATGCCCAGGCAATCTGATGGAATAGAATATTATAGACAGTTTCTTTTGGGACAAGTTCAATACCTTTTGCTGGACACCACCCACGCTTTGAATTTTTTTCTTTATTTTTTTACTGCTAAACGTTTCAGAAGTCAGTTGATCAAAATTGTGTGCTGTAAGAAGTGTAGAAAACGCTTTAGAAAGAGAAATAAGCTCAACACTAAAACGGGGAAAAAACAAAGTTTAAGCCTCACAGAGATCACTCATGTGGGAACCTAATGAACTTGCTATGGGATAGGTTAACATTCTGTGGACTCAAGTGGACTTAAATTTGAACTTATTGTGGAACTCTCGTTTACCTTTTGTGTGATGCTGGTTATATAGCTAACGTGATGTGGCTGAAATAGTCAATTTGATATGGTTTAAATATAAGCAGTGTACAGTCTCTGAACAATAGAAGCGATCACAAGGGTTCTGCGAATTTTACAGTCAGTGCTGTGGTGACTTGTACAAACACACCAAACTGAGTGAATTTGGAAAACAAGCTGATCCAGACTTATGGAACCTTGGCACCATGTGGCATGAATTACATGCTCTCATTTACCTGTTAAACCTTTTCTCCGCCCATTTTCGTTACGACCAATCACAGTGGACTTACTTATTCTCTCTTTTTTTCCCTTTTAATCTCTCACCTTCGTATATTCTGTCACTCTCCTCTTGCTGTCCTCTCGGATACTTCATTTCAGCTAAGTGTTATTTTTTAAAATGTAATTATCGTTTTACTGTTTGTTTGCTGATGAAGGCTTCTTGCCGACACGTTCTTTGTTTTGTTGCGTTCTTTTTTTTAATGTTTTTCCATTGATATGGATTATATCTTGAATTTGATGTTGGTCGTGTAAAATGCACAGCAGTTTCGGGTAGGTGTGTCGACATTATCTCATTGAACCTAAAACGTGAACCACTGTGTAATACGTGTTCAACTTGATCAACTGTCCACTTGTGATAAGGTTGTGAGCGCGTAAATATCGTGAAAATACCCCATGATGGTCTCTGCCAACGGCGGTATACGGCGAGTTGTATACACACAGGAAGACAACACATCTTCACTCTGCACAGATGTCACATGCGGGTGAGTTTCTGGGGAGGTAGTGAGGAGGAAAAAGCTGTGCAGAATGACGTTTTTGGCTCACTACCACAGGTTTCTGTATAAATACATTTTTTGTTTAAAGTAGAAGAGTAGCACAGCGCATAGAAGCCGAATGTAAATGTCACCATGCCCTTCTGAGACAGAGCTGCTCAATAGTTTTAATGTGCGACGTCGAGGAAACGAGAAGCTCGTCTGTAATAACGTTCAAATGTAAAACGTGTTTTAGGTAATACTAGACCTCCTCCTAAACAAGTGAAGCAGGAAGGCGAATCTCATCTCCCCCACAAAGCAAAACCTGTTGAAAAATGTATGTGTGTGTGGGGGGGGGGGGGGGGGGGGCGGGGGCAGGAGTAAGGAAACAGCAGTTGAAATCCGAAACAAAAAAACATTAGTTTCAAATAAGTTTTAGAGAGCTTCATCTCCAAAGCTTTCCTCTCTCGACATTGCAGTTTGTTGAATTGCCAAACGGAAACTTTCACAACTGCGGACTTGTGACTATGTACAACATGGATTACAGCCAAGCAGGATGACTTCTACGAATCTCTCCCATCAGAGTTATATTTCATGTTTCAGGAACCATGCACTCCCCGTCAGGGTATCTCAATATCAGGAACCATGCAAAGTCAAACGGCAAAAAAGATTTGCTAGCACCTCTATCAGTGAATAGACTCCCCCCGCCGGATTAAAGCGAACCATCAGAAGTATTAAACCAGATCCAGACTAACCGATGCAAATGTGTATCGCTTCTTACGACCAACAGTGAGAGATGGGAGACCGTCTCGTTATCCAAAAGCAGGTCCATACTTAAGATTAATATGCTAATGTGTTAATATTCATTAAAATTTTATTCATTTATAAATATGATGTCTTCTTCTTCTTTTCTTCTTTATTTTGAGGGCCCACGATCAAAGAATTGATAATTCTGGCTCCTATGTTTCAGAGGGGTTCGCGATGTTACTGTGCATGGTTTTCAAGGGGATACTTCACTGGTTGCAAGGGTTACTCAGCAGTGGTGTTGTGAACTAGGGGTTGGAAGGCAGGAGGCAATAGATACACATGTGTAGATTTAGCCGCCTCAACTGATGTTGTTGTCGTTTTTTTTTTCTGTTTTAGTCTTAAGCAATGCAAAAAAGATAAGGGATGTTTGCATAGGAATTCTCAAACTATAGTTCATATCTAAACGTGTCGCGCAGACAATGAACTTAAGTCCTGTTAAAAAGTGTTAGAACCCCTGAATTAATATAACACGAAATCTGTTTGTTTCTGTGAAAGTATGATTGGCTATTTCACTAACCAGTGAAATCATGTGTACTGGCTGAACTTAGTGACCTACAGTGACCTAAATTTCCTGTGGTGTTGTTGTCATATTGACTGGCTCGACTAAGTTGTTGTGATAAGTGTGTAAGCTTAAAGATGTAAGCATTGTCTGGATAAAACTGCAGTGAGTAGTTACGTGATGTGGAGTATGAAAAGACTGTAGGATGGAGAATACAGTTAGTGATTTCCCCAGGCCATGTGTCTACCAATACTTGATCTTAGTGTCAAATACAATCAGGTCAAATGTATACCATACCTTTAACTGGGTGTCAACCTAATAGAGCGAAGCGTATACCATTTCTTGAGCTTAGCGTAAAACCCAATATTGCCAAGAGTATACCATTAATTGATCTTAGTGTAAAACCCAATTGTGCCAAGAGTATACCATTAATTGATCGTAGCGTAAAACCCAATTGTGCCAAGAGTATATCATTAATTGATCGTAGCGTAAAACCCAATTGTGCCAAGTTAACCTCCGCCAGACCCGGCCTATACCATAACTTGATCTTAGTGTAGAGCTCAGGCTTTTTAGGTTTATAAAATCACTTGACGTTATTGTATAAAAACAATTAGTGTGTCCTTTGATGACAATGCATTAAATGAATTTCAGAACATTACATTTTGTAAACCTCTTTTGAAAAAATTTAACGATGACGCCAATATCTCATGTTTATAACCATTATAACCATTATCCGATTTAAGTTCAGAGGCTTTCCCACTTAATGTATTAAAAGAATTTTCAATTGTTTTCAAATAAATTTTGCCTACATATATTTTTATAGGTGCTAGTATCATTATAAATTTTCCTACTTAAAACTCGTATATTGTTTTCAAAGTCTATCTGTTCAACCAGACCCGTAGACTTCACTTTTTTTTCGATTTTGCGATCCTTGCATAAAAAGTTAATAGTTTATTCTTTTGTTACATAACAACTTTGGACCTCTTAAGTATCCGAGGACACCTCCAGCACCTCTGCAGTTGCAAGGCTTGCAAGGTTTGAAAGGGTTGCAGGCTCCACGCGACGGCTCTGGTTATACTTATTTCAAAGACTAGCATCAAGTCAGGGTCCACGCGACGGCTCTGGTTATACTTATATCAAAGACTAGCATCAAGTACAAATTTAAAAAAAAACAACTGTCTGTTTGCATGTGTTTATTTAACAATATATTATTCTTATAAATAAAAAAAATATATCACATATAACAATGCCGTGGGAACTGATAAAACATCTTAAAATGTCGTCATCAAAGATATCTCAAAGCGGAATGAAATAAGGGGATCAAATATAATATAATTTTTAAAAAATAATGTTTACAACAAAAAAAAAGAAGAAATTTTAAAACATATCATTTTAAATAATTATTTTTGTACTTAATCACAAGTTTTTTTAATCTTTCAAGTCCCATATGCACTTACAACATACGTTTTGCATTTAAATTAGGAAATATTTGTCTTTTCAAAATATAATTGTATTAATTAATTTATTTATTTATTTTTTTTTTTTTTTTTTTTGCCATCCGGGATGCAATTTTTGCCATCCGGGATGCAATTTTTGCAATGTAATCTTTTAAATAAACACGTTAATCTGTCCACTTAGAATATTTTTTTAAAAATTCTAATCAAGTTAACTACACTTTTTTTCATGTATAACCTTTAAGAAATATAATAGAGTTATCCTGACAAGATTAATGACACCTCTTTGGTATCATGATACACTTTAGTCAGAAAATGGTCTGAAAACTCCAATCCATACAATTCTTTGTATCAATGTAATAAGGTTCACACTTTACAAACGTATTTTCCACTCGTCGCTGATTCCCAGCGATGATTTCCCGCCAGCAGATTTGAAATTATAAATCATTTCATCACGGATCAAGTTACACTATATACTTTTAATGTATATCGTCTGTCTGTGATTTTAATATCTCAATGCTGTATTGCGTGTTTTGTGGCGTGCACAATCCTTTAAAACGTCCCAAGAACCGTAATCCTTGTCGTTCGAGCGATTTGTGATTATCTCCCGTTTGTTGCCACTAATGACGGAACAGCTCAACGTCCGGACACCCGAGATGGAATGCGACAAGGCTCAATACCAAGAACACCAGGGCGAATGAACACTCACTTAACCACTCGTTGAAGGTCTGCGCTTGCAGAGATGATGTCGTGTCATTGCTACCGCTACGCCGAGATGGCGTCGATGAGTTTCTGTTTGAGCCAGCCAAGACGGAACGCCTGGTTGTATCTTATGATGGACATGCCCTGGAGCACGCTGGGGAGCTGTCCGATGGTTTTGTCAATCTGTACCGGGATGATGTTCTTGCAGCGGGCATCTAATGGTGAGAGACAAAACATTCCAATGTGAGATCAAAGAAATCGAATTCTGTGGAAGGATTTATTGCAGTGCGATAACGGTGTGCTTGGAGAGGACTGGTTTGGAATATATTTATAATATGGCACCTGCTGATTGAGGATTGGTTGAAAAAATATAAAGTTACTAGGGCTTAACTGAGCACAGTTGTTTACACCGGGTCCGGGAATTTTGAGAAAATACCCGTTGGGTCCAAATGTTAAAAAAAAAAAAAGAGCTAACTTCTCATTTTCTATAAACTATGCCGGCCTTTAAACAATAGTCCTACACAGTCCTCTTGGCTCTTTATCGATTTAGATAATAGCCGCTGCCCCTTTAAAAAAATCAATGTACTATTTTACCTGAGTTCAACCGTCACGTCACGCAGAACGCTCGCTGCGGGAGAGCCGTTTTTTTCCCACTCAGTAGGACATGCAAGACATGTAGAGTTAGGGGGACTGGTGGTTTTGTGCAGGACACAACAGAAGCAAAATATATATAAGATATAGAGTTGCTTGTTCCGCAGACTAATTTGAGAGATAACACTTGCGATATTTAGGATGTTATCTGGAATAAATACCCCCCCTACCCTTTTGATGTATGAAAAGACCAAGATGTATGGGGCGGTTTTATTTGATGATGGTTATTCATATCAGGGGTAGTCCACTCAATGATGGTCATTCATATCAGGTGGTCCACTCAATGATGGTCATTCATATCAGGTAGTCCACTCAATGATGGTCATTCATATCAGCTAGTCCACTCAATGATGGTCATTCATATCAGGTGGTCCACTCAATGATGGCCATTCATATCAGGTAGTCCACTCAATGATGGTCATTCATATCAGGTAGTCCACTCAATGATGGTCATTCATATCAGGTGGTCCACTCAATGATGGCCATTCATATCAGGTGGTCCACTCAATGATGGTCATTCATATCAGGGGTAGTCCACTCATTGATGCCCATTCATATCAGGTAGTCCACTCAATGATGGTCATTCATATCAGCTAGTCCACTCAATGATGGTCATTCATATCAGGTGGTCCACTCAATGATGGCCATTCATATCAGGTAGTCCACTCAATGATGGTCATTCATATCAGGTAGTCCACTCAATGATGGTCATTCATATCAGGTGGTCCACTCAATGATGGCCATTCATATCAGGTAGTCCACTCAATGATGGCCATTCATATCAGGTAGTCCACTAAATGATGGTCATTCATATCAGGTGGTCCACTCAATGATCTTCACGTTAAACGCTCATTTTATTAATAGACACGACCCAATCAAAAAAAAAAAAAAGTAACTAGGGGATTTTGTGTGATCTTTCTGAATTGAAATCAATATCACGTTTGCTATGCTATGTGTTAAAGGGAAATCCTTTGTGATTATTTAAGAAATAAATTGAAAATTGGGGATATTTTTAAAAAAAAAATTACAAATGAAATTTGCTTGTTAAAATTTCTTATCATACTCATGCGCACGAGTGTGACTTAATAATAGTGTGGGTTTTTTTTTCTTACTTTGTTTGTTTCTTTTTTTTTAAATTATTTATTTTTACACGTTTAAAGACATAAACAAATTTAAGCTGATATTATATTTCATCCACTTCAGCGTGTTTTCCCAATT